ATTCAAGAAAAACAAATGCTTTTTCTATTGTTAAACGAAATAAGACAAAAATTCCTACGTGCAATTCGTAAGCTTCATCGTATGCACACAAATATCCCGACAGTGATGCCAAACCAATCTCCGGATTCGTGTGGTGTCCACGAAGCTCCAACCGTTTGATAACCTGAATCCAGGATATAAGTGACTCAGAAGTTCATCGTGGGTTTCAATTAAATTAATTACGATCAGAACCATTTTGCCTAGAAAACGTTAGGAATAGCAAGAAGAAACTCACGTCGGGATCGACCTTTATTTTCCTCTTTCGTAACTTCTTTGAAGGGAGCGAAATAGACAGCTGCTCGTCGTATCTCATTGGGGTGACAGAGTTCTGGAAAAATACAAAGTTAACAAACAAATTTATTTTTTGTAGAGTTTCTTCTCAAATAGAACCGCTACAGTGTGAACACAGATGAATTTCACCAATTTTTCTGGATTTTCCGTTTCACCTGAAGTTTGAGGACGTTCACGCAACGCGCATCAAAGCAAGTTGAATCAACAAACGATTCGGAAGAGAGTATACTCACATACTGGATTACGAACTCGACTCTATTGTGGGTTGGAGACTTCGAGCAGTGCGCTATCGAATACGCTTCCGGAATTATGAGGTTCTGCAATGATTACAATCATCAATTTATCTTCCAGAAAGTAATATATTTTGACTACATAATAGTTTCAATAAAAATGTATTGAAGATGTAGTGAGACTAACTATATCAAGATCAGATAAAAGGGAAGAAATGGATAAGATGAAGATGCTGATCAACTCCTCAATCGTTTTATATCAAGCAATCTCAGAAAAAGTTGTGACGTGATAGGATCATCCATATCATATTAGTATCTTACAAGAAAAGGATACTTGGTCGAAGTAGTGATTTGAAATGGGGTATATACTATCACTTATAACTTGGAACGCTTTTCTTTGGAAGAAGTTATGAACGTTTCTCTATATCAAAAATGGCTTACAGTATCTGATTTGAAATGCTCAAAATTTCAACCTGAGCTCAGAACAGCATAGCAAAGATTGTATTGAGAAAAACATGTCTTCATAATAAAACAACTCTCTGCTTATCGATTCATGCCGGATTTGATGTTGTAAAGCAGTTCTGACTAACGTACAAGCTAATTTTTGCACTCAAAAACTTTCATAACTTCTTCAAAAAACGCTTCGCAGATATGGAAGGTAGATTTAAAACCAACGTTTGAAACCACATCTACCGATATGCATCGCTTCTTGACTTGCCACTTCGACCAAGTGATCTTTCCTTGTTAAATCAAAACACTTACCTTCGGACGCAGTTCTACTGGAAGCAGTGTAGAGTTCACATGCGAAAATTCAAGACGAGTTTCAATAGGATAATAGAAAGCTCTGATTGCAAGATCTTCGTAAGGAGCGTAAACTTCATTAAGAGGGAAGTCTGGATCTGTAATGAAAACCTACACGCGAACGATCTAGCTTTTCATAAACCTTCCAACGAATTTTTTTTTGCAAGGCCCATTTTCAAGACATAGCGTTGTATACCTTTGATTGCTTATGAAGAATGTTGTTGCTAAATTCAAGTTGAATCACAAAAAGTTCGCTAATGACAACCTCGCAAAGAATTTACCAATGTGTGCATCCACAAGTGCCTAGAATGTAGTTCGAGCATGGAATTCATATGTTATAATAATCACTTTAATTGCTTCGCTTATCGCCTACGTAAGTCTATTGTATTATACCCAATTGTATAAAAATATCTGAGGTAGCCATGAAGAATTTTACGAGTATAGTGATTTCAGATGCTGTATTTTTAGAAAAACATACCAGTCATTATTAACGCATTTTTAGAGTCGTTGCCCCACATTTCAATTAAATGCGGAGCATCGCCAATCCGTAGAGATGGGTGACCAGTGAACACCTAAAAATACACCGCTCAAAACAAGAGAAAAGTTCGTATGACCTGTGACAAATTATTGGAAAGGTGGATTATGACAAAACACTAACAACACATGGCGTCTTATATTCCCTGCAAAACGATTCGTGTACGTTTTCGAAAAGTTTCAACCTTCCATTCCTTACCAGCTGAAACAACAAGAAAATTCTTCAAAAACGTGACCTTAGGCACAAAACTACTCATCCAATAAAAGAACAAAAAAGTTGAACTGGAGAAAATTTCACTTACTCCCATATGACAGAAAGGTTCTTCAGGAACATATACTGCATTCTGTCTAGCCTCAGTAAGCCATTCAGCATTAACGTTAGAATATGCTAGAGCACCTTTTGCAACAGGTGAAATAAAATACATACGTGATTCCAATAGGGAACCACCCTAAACGAACTCACTATAGAAAGCAACCGAATGCCATCAAATCGTTGCATTATTATAGGAAGAGAAGATATGAGTAGGACACACTTTGAACGCAACATAATTCTCAAAAGAGTAGCCCATAGGACACATTTATCCATCCGCGCACATTTCGCCAATTATAAGGACAGACTGCAACTATGCAACAATAATGCTATGTTCCATTCTCATACTACTTGCATTGTAATAAATCTGTAGAAATGATTAATAAATCATACAAGAATTCATGCAAAACAAAAGTTTTGTGCAGATCTACGGTAAAATGGCTTAGAGACAGTGTTGCGCTTTTAATGGATATTTCAATCACATTTCTTGGGCCACAAACAGGTTTTTGCAAATCCTCAAGTGCGACGACATACGTTAGAGATGAGAATTTTTTATTTCCAAAGGTAAATGAAAGTAGTTTCGCTGGCAGGAAGATTCAAAGAAAAACGGCAAAATATGATTATTTCCGGCTCAAAAATGTCTAAAAGATCGGTCAGT